TGCATATTCAGTCAGATTGATTGAGTAAATATTATAGAGTGTTGGGGTGGTGCAGTGGTCAGCACTGTGGCCTCACAGCAAGAAAGCTGGTGGGTCAGTTGGTGTTTCTGTGTGGAGTTTGCATGTTCTCCCCGTTATGTTGTCGGTTTGCTCCAGGCACTATAGGGGAACTGATCAACTAAACTGGCCGCAGTGTATGCGAATGAGTGTGTATTGATGCTAAAATAGTTGGCGGTTCATTCTGTTGTGGAGACCTCTGTTGAATAAAGGGACTAAGCTGAAGGATGATGAATGAATGAATATTAAAGAGTAACCGAATTACATAACTAAAAATTCACATGTTGTTTGTCACACGAGTCGTACACAGTGTGATATGCAGTGAAATTTTTACACAACCAATCATGACCCCTAAAAATAATAACAACAATAACAAACATTAATACCAATAAGAATGTCAATTATGGATAGTTATGCTATGGAAAATAAAAGCAAATTTAAAATATTAACAGACTTAAGATATAGAGTATCTGGAATATAAAATTGAAGGTCAGATTGATATATTGTGCATTTTATTTCATCTAAAATTTAGTTTTAATGTGTTTTATTTATTTTAAAAGACAGTTATAGGTTTCCCAGAGATGGGTTGCAGCTGGAAGGACATCCGCTGCGTAAAAACTTACTGGATAAGTTGGCAGTTTATTCCGCTGTGGCAGCCGTGGATTAATAAAGTTACTAAGCTGACAAGAAAATGAATGAATGAATGACAGTTATAGAGATAAGGGTCTCACAGCAAGAAGGTCGCTGGTTCGCATCTTGGCTGGGTCAAAATTTCAATTCATTCATTCATTTTCTTGTCGGCTTAGTCCCTTTATTAATCTGGGGTCGCCACAGCGGAATGAACCACCAACTCATCCAGCAAATGTTTTACGCAGCGGATGTCCTTCCAGCCGCAACCCATCCCTGGGAAACATCCATAAACACTCATTCACACTGATACACTACGGAAAATTTAGCCTACCCAATTCACCTGTACCTCATGTGTTTGTACAAGTGGGGGAAGCCGGAGCACCCGGGGGAAACCCACGCGAACGCAGGGAGAACATGCAATCTCTACACAGATACGCCAACTGAGCCAACCGAGACTCAAACCAGCGACCTTCTTGCTGTGAGGCCGCAGCACTACCTACTGTGCCACCGCGTCGCCCTTTAATAATTTGAGATAAAATCAAAAATAATTAATTTAGTAAATAAAATAAATATTAAAACTAAAATTTATATTATACATTATATATATATTATTTCTCTAAAAACACATATTTCTTAAAAACCTTTTTCAGTTAACTTTTTTTATAAAACAAATTAAAATTTTATTATACTTTATAGATATTATATTTATTCATTAATTAATTATTTTATTTTCCTTAAAAGACATAATTCTTGAATTAATTATTTTTTTATTTTATTTAAAGTTAAAATTATTTATTTTATTTCCTTATTTTCACAATAACAGTTGTCTTCTAGTTGTTTTTATTTTATTTTTGGTCTCCATTCTCCTTTTTATTTATTTATTAGGTTTTGATGACCTTTTTGTATGTTATTTATTTTTATTATCATATGTATATATATGTGTGTGTGTGTGTGTGTGTGTGTGTGTGTGTGTGTGTGGGTTTTAAACTATGACTAAGTCAGCGGTCCCGTAGATCATTGATTCATTCATTCATTTTTCTTTGGCTTAGTCCCTTTATTCATCATGGGTCGCCACAGTGGAATGAACCGCCAACTCATCCAGCATATGTTTTACACAACGGATGACCTTTCAGCAGCAACACAGTACTCTCATTCAAACACACACACACACTACGGCCAGTGTAGTGGATCAGTTCCCCTATAGCGCATGTGTTTGGACTGTGGGAGAAACAGGAGCACCCGGAGGAAACCCACACCAACACGAGGAGAACATGCAAACTCCACACAGAAACACCAACTGACCCAGCCGGGACTCAAACTAGTGACCTTCTAGCTGTGAGGCCACAGTGCCTACCACTGAGCCACCATGTCGCTCTCCTGTATTCCAGTTTTGTCCTAATTTTCTGTAGCAGCAGGTTTCTTTCCCTCCTCTGTTGATCAGAGATGCAGATGAATGAGTAGTGCGTCTCCTCAGCATCTGCACGTGCTAATACTGTGTGATTTAAACTCTCTCTCCTCTTCACTAATGAACACAGACAGACGGACGGCTCTCTATGAGAAACAGAAATAAACACTGGACGAGTCTTATTAACCTTTACGAGACGTCTTTAAGCATATGGAGCGTCTTCACACCTTCTCCTGAGCAGATCTCTCTCTCTCCGTCTCTCCGCTTCTGTAAATCACAGCAGATCTGCTCTTCTGTTCATACATCAATATCTGGGCTGCGTGTCGGGGGAAATAAAGGCAGATTCCGCAGCTTTTGCTTTGCTTTGTTATTGATGTTTCTGGAATATGGCATAAGCTGATACACACATTGACAGCACACACACACACACACACACACACACACACACACACACACACATAGACAGCCAGATGTAGTATTGATTTACAGGTTCTTCTATTACTGAGCATCATATCCATGTCCAGTAGTGTGTAATGGATCACAAGTCTCACGGTTTGGATGATATTTTGGGTTTTTAAGTCACTGATCAGCCAAAAAGCTGAGACAAATGTACAGTGCTCAGCATAATTGAGCACACCCCATTTTAAAATGAATATCTTTATTAATTTCTCAGTGACTATGGGTAATATATATTGGTGCATTTGAACAGAACAGATTTATTAAGCTGATATATTCATTATATCACAGAACATCTTTAGACATGGAAAGATTATACATTTATCATTCATTCATTCATTTTCCCTTTATTAATCTGGGGTCGCCACAGCGGAATGAACCGCCATGAAGTCGCCATCGTCTGAGATGGCGATGTGTAAGCTTGGCGATGACATTGGATGACGTGTGCAGGTGCTGTCCCAATTCTTAGGGGTACATTTTGAAGCCCTTCCTCCTCACACTTCCAAGGGGTGTCTCTGTCTCGTGCTGAACACTGTCGACCAATCACAACAGACTGGATCATCCGACCAATCAGCGCAGATTAACTTCCTGCTAGGAGGGGTTTTTGACCTTGCACACAGATCAGCCTGTTGCTGAAGACCCCCAAAACCAAAATATGACCTTTTTAATGCAAAATAGGGGCTCTTTAAACTGTGGATATTCTATACGTCCCTAATTTAGTTTTTATTTGATGTCAAAACAATTTTAATTTTTTATTTATTCATTTAGCTATTTAGTAAGTGTGTTTAAAATAGTCAATGTTAATTATTTATTTATTTTTTAAAATGTCAATTTAATATAAAAATAGTTCATTTTGTTTTAAAATGGTTTATTTTATTTTATTTTAAATAATTCAGTGGTATAGCCCCAGTCACGTGCAATAAGATGAATTGTTTCTTCTAAAACCCCACACACACTCTCTCTCTCTGCTGAGAAGACAAACTTAATTAAAGTAAATCCATTTATGAGGTAAATAAATGCGTAAATGATCAAGAATCGGGGCAAATTTCTCCTTTAAATCACTGTAGGGTGTTTTGGTGGAACATAATTTCTTGATGTCTGAACGAGGGATGCAGGCGGAGCTGTTATTGGACAACACACACACACACACACACACACACACACACACACACACACACACACACACACACACACACACACACACACACACACACATGGGCCTGAAAGCATCTGCTGTGAATCCAGCTAATGAGGAGCCAGCCAAACCTCTGATTTCCCCTGTAAATGAAGCTTTTATTTGTGTTTTGTTCGCTCACACACACACACACACACACACTGGGCACTCGCTGCCTTTTCTAGTCGAGCCAGAAAGGCAACAATGATGCATCCTGACCTCTTTTTGGCTAGCCGCTAGCGCTCCGTTCTCCAGGGCTCCAGGTGATTTGTCATTTTCCCAGCATGCAGCAGCTCATTCTTTGAGTCTGTTTTTCAATTATCAGTGTGTGTGTTTGTGTGTTTGTGTGTGTGTGTGTGTGTGTGTGTTCTGACATATTGTGTTTGTGCTGGCAGCTCCATCTCCACACTTTAGAGCATCACTGCATTACTCTCCTCATTTACACACATAAACATGTAGCGCTGCAATATATACAACATCACAGAAGGTCGCTGGTTCGAGTCTCGGCTGGGTCAGTTGTTTCTGTGTGGAGTTTGCATGTTCTCCCCGTGTTGGCGTTGGTTTCCTGATGAACTATATAGGGGTAATAGGGAAACTGATGAACTAAACTGGCCGTAGTGTAAGAGTGTGTGTGTGTGTGAGTGTGTGTGTGAATAAGTGTGTATGGGTGTTTCCCAGTGCTGGAGGGCATCTGAGGTGTTAAACATATGCTGGAATAATTGGCGGTTTATTCCACTGTGGCAACCGCTGATTAATAAAGGGAATAAGCCGAAAAGAAAATGATGACTAATTAGTTCTGCTGTTATTCATAAGCTCCATGTACAGTGAGGACGTTCTCATATCAGTGTGACCCAATTTGTAGTGAACCTAGCTCTTTTGTACCCTTAATAGTGCCCAACAGCTCTCTTATTAGAGCACACAACTTACTGATGAACGACCTCAGCAGCTAGGGTGTTGATGGAGAAGCAGCCACTGATCGCCCGCTAGTGGCCAACGTGTGCACTGCAGGCTAGCGTTGAGGCCCAGTGTAAAGGGAAGCCAGTGCAGCATTGACAGAACCGGGCTCATATGATCATACTCATTGTTTCTTACTCAAGCTGCTGGATTTAAACCAGTTAAGTTTGTTTGTTTGAGCCACCAGCTGATAATGCTTTACAATAATCACAGCTTTTCTCTCTGTGTGTGTGTGTGTGTGTGTGTGTGTGTGTGTGTGTGTGTGTGTGTGTGTGTGTGTGTGTGTGTGTGTGTGTGTGTGTGTGTGTGTGTGTGTGTGTGTAGGCCAGCCTCTGGTGTTTCCTCCAGTGGCTCTGTGGGTGACTGTGGCTCTGGCTGTGTGTTTGTTGGCTCTGCTCATCGCTCTGGCCGTCGTCTGCCGCAGGAAAATCAAGGAGAGCTGTGAGGAGATGAGAGCCGGTAAGTGGACCTTTATATTTGCATTATAAAATGTACATGTTTAAATATATTCACGACTGGTGTTCACACGGCCGAGACTGAGAATTGTACTGCTATAGTGCATGCTTTAGTTTGGAAATGGTGGAAATCACTCTCTGATTGGTCAGACAGACAGACAGACAGACAGAAATGTAAATAGGTGGATAGATAAACGGACAGATAGACAGAAAGATAGACAGACAGACAGGTAGATGGTACAGGCAGATATATAGACAGACTGATATACAGACAGACATGTAGATAGATAGACAGACAGACAGACAGACAGACATGTAGATAGACTGACAGACAGACAGACAGACAGACAGGTAGATAGATAGACAGACAGACAGACAGACAGACAGACAGGTAGATAGATAGACAGGCAGACATGTAGATAGATAGACAGACAGACAGACAGACATGTAGATAGATAGACAGACAGACAGACAGACATGTAGATAGACTGACAGACAGACGGACAGACAGACAGGTAGATAGATAGACAGACAGACAGACAGACATGTAGATAGATAGACAGACAGACAGACAGACAGACAGGTAGATGGTACAGGCAGACAGGCAGATATACAGACAGACGGACAGACAGATGGATGGACAGACAGACAGATATATAGACAGACAGATATACAGACAGATATATAGACAGACAGATATATAGACAGACAGACAGACAGATATACAGACAGATATATAGACAGACAGATATATAGACAGACAGACAGATATATAGACAGACAGACAGATATATAGACAGACAGATATATAGACAGACAGACAGACAGACAGATATACAGACAGATATATAGACAGACAGACAGATATATAGACAGACAGATATACAGACAGATATATAGACAGACAGATATATAGACAGACAGACAGACAGATATACAGACAGATATATAGACAGACAGATATACAGACAGATATATAGACAGACAGATATATAGACAGACAGACAGACAGATATACAGACAGATATATAGACAGACAGATATATAGACAGACAGACAGACAGATATACAGACAGATATATAGACAGACAGATATATAGACAGACAGACAGATATATAGACAGACAGACAGATATATAGACAGACAGATATATAGACAGACAGACAGACAGACAGATATACAGACAGATATATAGACAGACAGACAGATATATAGACAGACAGATATACAGACAGATATATAGACAGACAGATATATAGACAGACAGACAGACAGATATACAGACAGATATATAGACAGACAGATATACAGACAGATATATAGACAGACAGATATATAGACAGACAGACAGACAGATATACAGACAGATATATAGACAGACAGATATACAGACAGATATATAGACAGACAGATATATAGACAGACAGACAGACAGATATACAGACAGATATATAGACAGACAGATATATAGACAGACAGATATATAGACAGACAGATATATAGACAGACAGATATACAGACAGATATATAGACAGGCAGACAGACAGACAGATATACAGACAGATGGATGGACAGACAGACAGACAGACAGACAGACAGACAGACAGATATACAGACAGATATATAGACAGGCAGACAGACAGACAGATATACAGACAGATGGATGGACAGACAGACAGACAGACAGACAGACAGACAGATATATAGACAGACAGATATATAGTAAGACAGACAGACAGATATATAGACAGACAGACAGATATATAGACAGACCGCCGGTCAGACTGATGTGAATGCAGAGCAGTAAGTGTCTGTGTGACTGCTGAAGTTCATTAGCGCTGCAGAGATAATTAGTGTCTCCGCGTAACGAGGGACTGCAGCACTGAATGACAGCGAGAGAAGAACTGAGAGAAGCGAGGGATGATTCTGCACCTCCGTCAGTCGCTGTAATGAGTTGTGTGTGTCGAGCAGCAGACATTTAAATAAAGGTCAGCGCGGGACCCCTGGGCTTTAAAACACACATCTGACACGGAGACACACAGTAAATATCTGTCTGCAAACAGCTGGAGTACCATTCAGAGCACACACACTCACACACACACACACACACACACACACACACACACACACACACACACACCTGTGGAGAAACAATACAAACTACAGACTCTGTAGAGGTCAAAATTAAAGTTATCAAATTTAAGTAAAGTAAATAAACCAAGGACGGCATAGTGGTCTCACAGCAGGAAGGTCTCTGGTTTGAGTCCCGGCTGGGTCAGTTGGTGTTTCTGTGTGGAGTTTGCGTGTTGGTGTGGGTTTCCTCCGGGTGCTCCGGTTTCCCCCACAGTCCAAACACATGCGCTAAAGGGGAACTGATCAACTGAACTGGCCGTAGTGTATGAGTGGGTGTTTCCCATTACTGGGTTGCAGCTGGAAGGACATCCACTGGAATAGTTGTCGGTTCATTCCGCTGTGGTAACTCCTGATAAATAAGGGACTAAGCTGGAGAAAAATGAATGAATGGAAATAAAGAAATCAGATGTAAGTAAATCATGTAAATTAAGTTAAATATAAAGTAATCGAAATTAATCAAAGTAAACTAATTTAAGTAATTGATTGTCTGTAGTTAAAGTAACATTATATAAAGTAAGTGAATTGTTTGTCTGTCTAGTAATAAATGATGTGGTTAATCTAGCAGTCGTGTGTGTGTGTGTGTGTGTGTGTGTGTGTGTGGAGTCTCTCAGTCCTGCTGTTTGTTTGTCTGACGCTCAGTGCTGGAGATTGTTCTGGACAGTTCAGTCTGGAGCTACAAACTCATTTTTCTCTGAGCAGATCCTGCAATTGAGCTGTTCATTCAGAACCGCAGCCTAAAACACACACTGATTTCATCTGGCAGTAAACACTTCACTCGCTGTAATTCTGCGTAGATTCTTACACTTTTAGCATTCGCTCCTGACAGACAGACTTACTGCACTAGCTGATGTGCTCACCTGCTGCTGAGCTGTTTCTGATAAATGAGTAACTTTAAAAGTGCGAAAAACGTTATTTATAAACAAAAATAAACATTACACATTTTGCGCACAGAAAGCTATTTTAGTGTCTGAGCCCCCAGTAGCAATATTTATTTGCCGTTTTTTGATTGTTATTTTGTCACCAAATGCTTCAATTTGACTATAAATTGATGCATAATAATTGTTCCAGGCATTAAAAATTCTGTGGAAAAACACTTTTGTAAATTGATGCATGATAGATGCATGATGGATTACAAAGTTTTGTACCAAAAAAATAATTTTGTTTTTATATAAGTGATGCATATGAATCGTTCAATAACTATAAAAAATTCTGCAAAAAATTTACTTGCGTTTTCATAATTTGATGCATAGCATTGTTAATAATAATAGCAATAATAATAATTGTAATAATAATAATAATAATAATAATAATAATAGTTGTTTCATGAATTACAAACTTTATCACTAAAATTGTTGTTTTTTATATAATTGATGCATGTATGTTGTTTCTGGAATATTTTGCATATTTTTACAATAAGAATGACATTTGCTTTTATTAATTGATGCTTAATATTTGTTCTAGGGATTAAAACATTCTGTGAAAAAATACTTTCGTTTTTTTTATAAATTGATGCATAATATTTGTTTCGTGGATTACAATTTTTTGTTGCAAAAATTGGTTTTGTTTCTATATAATTGATGATACATATGTTCAATTATTTAAAAACAATTCTGCAAAAAAGTATGCATAAAATTAATAATAATAATAATGATAATGATAATAATATAATAATAGTTGTTTCATTCTGTCAAATGTTGCTTCAAATTGTTTTGTTTTTGTATAATTGATGCATGGATGTTTTAGGGTTTAAAATTTGGTGATTAAAAAAGACTTTTGTTTTTATAAATTGATGCA